TGTCATCTCAGACTTCAAAACCTTGACAAAAGAAGTATGCAAGCTGCCTTCATTTTTCTCTAGGGCCCTTTTCAGGAAGATTGATGTTGCAGATGTGGGATTTGTTACCAGGTAAGTTATTTCTTATTTTTTATAGACTTTGTTGTTTAATTTCAGTTACTTGATGCACTTTATATCTTTGTATTGGAAGCTTCTATAGGGGTTTTTCTTGGCTACTGTATTCAGTAATGTGATTCTAGTTATCAAAAAAGAAGCAAAACTATGTTTCTAAGATCCATTGCTGTCATAAACTTGATATGTTTGGAGATAAATGTGATCCATAGCATTTCAGTATACTTTGGTGGAGGGCAACAATATTAATTGTTTATTATTTATAGCTATTAGGTTTGTCCAATAATGTTGGAGCTAAGGAATAAGTTTAAAAAATGGACCCGAATCCCTCACTTTAACAGGAAATCCCACATTTCTTTCTGCATTCTTGGAAATACTCTTTGGATGTCTTCATAACTGATGTTTTGGGTCTCATCTACGGATTGGCAGAATTTCTGTAAACTGTAAGTCATAGATGGGCTAAGGATTGCATTTAGGATCTTGGTGAAATTTGGTTAGCCCCAGCGGGCCCATTGAAAACAAAGTACCTGTATCAGCCAACAGCTCTAGCGGATTTCGACAATTAGGAGTAGCTCCACATTTTATGCTATACTTTGCTCATGAATGTCACAAGCAAAATTAAATTGTTGAAAAACCCACTCTGCCTTGCAAGTCTGAAAACTTTGGATGAGAATTGACTGTGACTCATCCGAGTCAACTTGGTTATTTTCATGAGATTTATAGAACATGGGTAAAACCAAGTTATGTGTTCGACCAAATGAATCCTTTATATTGTATCAGCTTGGTAAAACTATTATTGATAAACAAATGGTAGTTATTAGAAAACAGGGCTATATTGTCAAGTACTCTATAGTTGATTGGGTGACATTGCAAAGTGTTTTATGTAGCATTTTGAGAGTCTGGCTGTCAGTTTTGTGTTTTATGATGTGAAAAACGACCTGCATCACCTAGTCAAGTTTGGAGATACATGACTGCCTATTAAAATATTCATGGGACTGGTGGGGTTGATTTCCTACTGGTTACTCTGAATTTATATGCTTCTGTTTTGAAAGTTGATGTTAAAATTACTGTTTTGTAGTTCTTTCTTTGCCTATTGGGACGCAGACTGTCTTTCACTTTCCTCTTTCTTCCGTCGTTCCACTCTGTTAATATGCAATATGACTTCTACTACTTTGATACTGCATTGGCAAACAGCAAATATTTATAAGTTGTTCTATTCTGGGGTTATGCTTTTGGAATTGTCCTTTCATAAGGCAATACATTTGTAATAAGAATCTTGTTGGAAGATATGTTTCATGTGGTACTTTAGCATGTGTTGCACTGTATAACTAAATTGTGTTAACAGAATGTGTTATGAGCCCATCTGGTTAGTTGATTGTTAATGTGTCTGTTTCCTGTATGACCCCTGTACCATGCTTGCAGGGATCAATTTGTTGATTACTGGGTCAATAGCAACATGTTGACCATGGATACTTCTACGCAAATCTTTACAATTTTGAAGCAATCGGATCGGAATTACCTCACTCAGGTGCATGTTCTCTCTCTGGAAAGTTTAGTTCTTGACCAGGTTTTTCCTATGTGTTCTTGCTTTCAATTGGGTCATTTGCAATCTTAAAAAGAGCTTTGCCCACTTCTGTTTGGAAATGACTTTGCTTCAATCTATTTGGGTCCTAACTTTGTTTCATCTGGATGTGAAGGATGATTTTAAACCTGTTCTTCGTGAGATTTTGGCAACTCACCCAGGATTGGAGTTCCTACAGAGTACACCTGAGTTTCAGGAACGATATGGTGTGTACAAATGCACTTGTCACTGCTTTGTTATTTCGTTTAGGTATCCTCGGCAGTATTTGTTCAATATTTGGGTTCCATTGCTGGTGCTATCTGAATTGGTCATTGCATGGTATTGCATTGATCAATCTAGAAGCAGCTAAGTAAGGAATCTTTATTGACAATGCACTGGTGTAAGGCATTGCTTTCTATTTCTGGCAAGTTTAGAATTTCTATTTTATCCTAAAGTGAAATTGTTTCGCAATGTACCAGCTGAAACTGTCGTATACAGAGTGTTTTGCTATGTTAATAGATCTCAACTGGCAATTTTAGAACTTCTATTTTTATCCTAATACGAAATTTTATTGCAATGTACCAGCTGAAACTGTCATATACAGAATATTTTACTATGTGAATAGATCTGGAAATGGTCATCTTACGCTCAGGGAGCTGAAACGGGGAAACCTAATTGCTGCAATGCATCATGTGGATGAGGAGGAGGATATTAATAAAGTACTGAGGTAATATCAATATTCTATTGTTTTTTCTGGATGTGATAATGTTAAACGTAGGTTATACCCGTTGAGTTATTCTTACAAATGTGTTGATCTTTTCCATTCAATGTAGTTTTGGCCTAGCCCCTTCAGTGCTCTTAAATCATTTCTTTTCCTTTCAATTGAGTTCACATATAAGCTATTCTGCTGAGCTTCGTGGGAGAAGCCTCCTAAGCCTAATAGTGTCGTTGTCCTGTTCATCTTTTTGGTTGCTTTTTTTATTGGATTCGATCACCTCGTTTCGTTAGTTCATACACATGGAAGTTTCCCATTCATAATGATGCAAGAAAAACTTACAGGGGATGTTGACCAGCTATGATGCTGTTTGGATATTTACAAGTTTTGCATAGTGCATGCACTCAAGTGTGCATATATCTGCTTGCAGTTTAAACAGTTGAGAATGTACAATATGTTTTTTTCAATCATTGTTAAGTCTTTTCTATTATTACAGGTACTTCTCTTACGAGCACTTCTATGTGATATACTGCAAATTTTGGGAGCTCGACACAGATCATGATTTCTTGATAGACAAGGAGAACCTTATTAGATATGGTAATCATGCCCTTACATACAGGATTGTTGATAGAATTTTCTCCCAGGTTTGTTTTCTACTCTTTAGATACTCTTCAATGTGTATATATTAGGGAAAATTACAAAAGTCCCCCAACAGGGGACTTTCTAGACAACCTACCCCCAACCAGTTTTTTTTATTGAACTTTTTACCTAAATTGAACTTTTCTAGCAAATACCCCCCAGGTCAAAAAGTCTTAATTTTTTTGACAAAAATGCCCGTAGTGCCGGACCGCCCCCATTTTGTGCCTGACCGCATGCCCAAAGTGCTGGACCGCCCCTATTTTGTGTCGGACCGCATGCTTTCTAGAAGCCCAAAGTGCCGGATCACCCCCATTTTGTGCCGAACCACACTCCCAAAGTGCCAGACCGCATGCTTTTCATAAGCAAAGTGCTGGGCTGCCCTCATTTTGTACTGGACCGCATGCTTTCCAAAGGGCATTTTGGTCTTAATTTTACCTTTTCTTTGACTGGGGGGGTATTAGCTAGGAAAGTTAAATTTGGGGTAAAAATTGCTAAAAAAAACTTGGTTGGGGGGAAGTTGTCTAGAACGTATGATTTTGGGGGGTTTTTGTGGTTCTCCTTAAATTATGCCACTTCTTGTTTTTTGTGGAATCAATGTTTTCCATTTTGTCTTTATGTATGAGATGCTTGTGCAAATACTTTGTCACATTTTGTAATATTTCTGTTTGTTTTAAATATTGTTCTACAGGTGTCAAGAAAATTTACAAGCAAGGTTGAAGGGAAGATGGGATATGAGGATTTTGTTTATTTTATGTTGTCAGAGGAGGATAAATCATCTGAGCCCAGCCTTGAATATTGGTATGACTTTGGACTGTATGTTCTAAAAGAATTGAAAAGTTTTACGTTATTCCATGCATGAATGTGTTGTTTGGCTTTCTTTTCACAATTCATATGAATGGATGTTTTCATCTTCTTTCTTGTTATACCATGTTCTCCCTATTTGCCACTTCTTATGCAATAGGATAAATTTTTATGTGGTCCAGTAAGTATGTCAAAAGGACTGCTCCTGCAAAACTGTGTGCTATATGCTTTACGCTAATATATATATATATATATATGGGAAAGCTTTCTATGTTCCCCCTACAACATAGAAGTTCTATCCTCCCCCTTATCCAACCGTCCATTTTTTAATGGAGGGCTAAGATTGCCCCAATCACAATGTCATGTCTCTACACTATTTTATTTTAAATTGTTTTTTCTATAAACTATTTTGACACCAAATTTTGGATGTCCATTCTTCTATTAAACTCGCCTTAACGAAAAATATAAAAAAAATATTTTCAATAAAATAAAAATGACCAAAATACCCCTGAAAGTTTCAAGGGGTATTTTGGTCATTATTTTTTATAAAAAAATTATTGTTAATATTTTTTATAGGTGCGCCCCAATGAGAAGATGGCACATATCAAATTTCATATTCAGAAAATTTGTATTAAAAAAGCTAAAGGTGAAATACTTTGAGACATTGGATCTAAGATCAAACAGTGAGTGGCTCTCTTGATAATAAATGGACGGCTGGATGGTAGGGGGAGGATAGAACTTCTATGTTGTAGGGGGAACATAGAAAGCTTTCCCTATATATATATATATATATATATATTGCTTCTACCCTAAGTCAATTGTGTGTGTATATACTAGGGAACCTTTTCCTTTAGTATTTTATGTTTTTCACGTGGGATGAGATTTTTTCTTTGGCCATGTTTTAATGGTTACTAGGCATTGTTTCAAAAAGCGGACCGCCTAGCACCTAGGCGGGTATCCCTGGGTGCCAACCTTAACCCGCTTAGGCGGCCCCACGGCCTGCACCGCACCCAGGGGCGGAAATGCAGCTCCTTGCGGATATTAAAGGGGCAAAATTATGGGCTTTAGGTTCATTTGAAACTTAAAACCCATTAGAGGCTTATTTAGAGGGAGAAAACCAAAAAAAAATTTCTATTGGACTGTCGAGGTTTTGGGCGCCCGCCTAGGTGTTGGGTGGCGTGTACCCCCCTGACCGCCTAGCGCTTTTTTAAACACTGTTACTAGGTGACTTGTCTGGTTTTTGAAACACCATCCGATTGAGAACCCGTCTTTCTTAATCCTTACCATAGAGGTTGGGTAGTTTTCTATACCAGTCAATGATTAAAAAATTCGGAGACGTTGAGATGGAAGGTGATTTATTGTGGTGCTCAATAGATACTAATTAAGCATTGTTGGGCTAAGAGGAAGCTAGTATAGTGCAGGGACAGCAAATGAGGGTTAATGGTGAAACAAGGAGGAATTTAGGAACCTAGAGAAAAAGAAAAGCGTGATTGTGAAAGAGAAATGCGTAAGCAACAATGAGAATATTTGATCAAAGGCAGTCAAAACTATGCAATACAGTTATCAGTCATCACCAAGAAACGGGATTTGGAGAAAAGTAAATCTGGTGTTGAGATTAATAGAGACTAGCCAAGCATTGTCAAGCAAATAGAGAGGGTGTGTGATGCTATCAGCAAGTGGTGAAGCATGAGGTGTGATTTAGAAACTTGCGAAAGGATAAATTTGTTGGTGGAAGAAGAACACATAAGTGACTATGATATGTTGAGCGATGGCAGTGAGAATTAAATCATACAGTCATCTGTGAGATTTCTATTGTGTATTACAGGCTTAGTTCCTGTAATTATTCATTTCAAGTTTTTTATTTCCTTTTCTTATGGAATAATTTCAGGGGCTTTAATTCCCTTGGTTGAGTGAATTTGACTAAAGCCCATTTAAGGAATATCTGAGCAAGTTGTTTAATGAACATTCAGATTATTTATTAATGCATGGGATTAGTACTTTTGATTGTTAATGCAGTATTTTCTAGTCAGCTGTATGCATGCTCTGTTTTTTTGTTTTGTCATTTGTTCTCAGAAATTTTCCCAATGTTTAATAAGGTTTACACGTAATTTTTTTGAGGTCCCATTTGAGTCTGCTATCAGGTGCTTCATGAGGTACCGATCGTCTCATTGGTGTCTATTATTTTTCATTTGCATTGCTATTAATGGTACTTGATGAAGCGAAATAATCAGTTTTTGTAGAAATTAAAGTTTTTGAAATTTGATTATGAGGATTGATCTGCTGGCAGCAGCACGCAGCAGCACTTCTGTCTATGAGAAATAGCGACAATTATTCTTTTTGAATCAAAGGAAAATAAAAAAAGAAGTGATGAATTAAATACGGGGACCAAAAAGGAAAAAAAGAAATGAAAGAGGTGGTACTTTTAAAATGTAGGGACTGAAACTATGGATTATGGTACGTATTAAATTTTGTCCACACTATAATTAACTGCACAATCGAATTGGTGTAATCATGATTTGCCATCCTACTGTCCCTCTCAATTTTGTAATTTTCAGGTTCAAGTGTATAGATTTGGATGGTAACGGAGTGCTTACGCCCAACGAAATGCAATTCTTTTATGAAGAGCAGTTGCATCGCATGGAGTGCATGTCACAGGAACCTGTGATATTCGAAGACATCTTGTGCCAGATGGTCGACATGATTGGACCTGAGGTTTGCACCATCATAACAGTCATCATGCAATCGTATCCATAATTGAAGGAAATTTATGTTACTAAGGATAACATTAGTGGTGTGAATTTTGAATTCTTCCCATAACTCCCATTTCCCCCCAACTTTTATAAATCATCTCTCCTAAATAAGACTTCCTACCAAAATGTATAGGAGTTGTTTTAGAATAATTTAATTTTAAATGAAAATACAATGTCGTATTTTAACTTTTTTTTAACCTAATTTTCAGTTCATTTTTCATTTTACCTCTTCTTCAATTTTATTTTTATCTAGCTTTTATTTAACTTTTCATTTAATTTTAATTTTTTTTGCATTATAACTATTTTACTTTTTTTTGGCAGGCATATTCTGTTACGATAGATGTTAATTTGTCGGGAGTTCTTTTAGGAATTCCTATTTCAACTTGAATGGAGCTATGGAATTTCTCTTTTGGTCGTTTCATTTAATGTCGAAGTTTGAGTCTCGTGCATAGCATGTGCCATTGGCTAGGATACTATATTCTGGAAAATCATAGTTCTCAGGGTCTTCACTCTTCATTGAAGTGATGGATGTTGAGGAAAGGGTGTGGGACCCGCCCTTGAGGTCTTGTTTTGGTGCTTCCCACTCTCTCTTCAGTACTGTCCACCATTTCAAATTTCAATATAAACGGTGGCCATCCTGATTCTCCCTTCTTTTTTTTTTGTTTAATGTGAACTGATGACCTTGGTAGGAATGGAACTCCAAATATTACGGTGTGGCAACCTGCCACCCTGACCACCCAGGCCCAGAGGCCATTCCTTATGGCTCTTCTGTAATCCTTTGGATTATAGTATGATTTCCCTTTGTCCCTTATAATTCTTGATATTCCCTTCACATTAAAAAAAATTCTGATCTTCCTAGAATTACCTTTGATGACTTGAACTTGTGGTGCAGCGAGAGTGTTATTTTACACTGCGGGACTTGAAAGGATGCAAGCTTTCTGGAAATGTCTTCAATATTCTTTTCAACTTGAACAAGTTCATGGCTTTTGAAACACGTGACCCATTCCTCATTCGTCAGGTAAACTTTTTATGTTTGGCATTTGCTTTATCCACATGTTTTGGGCAGCTCATAGCCTCATGTTCACCTGTTATGATGGTTTTGATCAACATGACATTGTGCATACAGGAGAGAGAAGATCCAACTTTGACAGAGTGGGACCGTTTTGCACATAGGGAGTATATTAGACTTTCTATGGAAGAAGACGGTGAAGATGCCTCCAATGGAAGTGCAGAAGTTTGGGACGAATCTCTTGAAGCTCCCTTTTGAACTTAAACCAAGTAAGTTATTTATGCTCTTTTATTTGGGTTTTGAAAATAATTTGTTGTTGTCTTCTTTGTCAACTCTGCAACTGAATTGTTCTCAAAGCAGTAACAAATGTTACACTGTATGGCTGGTGCCCTCATTGATTTTTTCTGCTTAAAATGTTGAAAAGTAAAACTTTGGAAATAGTTATCTAGTTGAGCATGTGATGCGGTAGTTGGATGTTGTGTTTGATAAGCAACCAAAAAGATAAGAACTGAATAAATTGTGATGCATTGGATCTTTATAAAATGGTTATTTAGGAAATTGATTGGATAGGTTTTTGTTGGAATGATCTAATTATATACGAGGCCGTAAATCATTGTGCTCAAAATGTATTCTGTCAATGGGAGATGCTAATAATAATTTCTTATATTTCAATTCTTTCCCTTTTTTTTTCCTTAACTCACCAGATTAATGTTAGCCTAATGGCTGATGCAACCATATTAAGAAGAAGAGTGTGTATGCTATACCTCCAAAGGAGCATATGCTGTACAATTACGCCCTCAGGCAAAAGAGCTACTTTGGAGGATTTTTCAATCTAAAATTTTGGGATCCACCTATGAATCACCGGATGATTATTCTCTAATAAACATTTGGATTTCAAGTTCTTCAACACTTAGATCTCACCCTTCAAAAATTGGATGGTCTCTATTCAATCTCGAAACTTTATTTTCTTCATGCACACAGAAATTTCTACTTTTGAGGTTAGCTTCTTGGTTGAAGAGGTTATATCCCCAGTTTGTTTTCCTTTTCATTGTTTATAACCATTCAAATCTCCCAACCCAAGGTTCAGAAGAAGAGCTCCATATAAGTAGTAGGCTAGGGCCAGTCCTTTTCAATAATTACTAGCGCAATTTATCGACACAAACTAAATATATGGATATGGTGGGAATGAAATTTTCCTGTGTTATTCTTGCTTATATCTTGAGCCTTATGATGGTTTAACTTTGTAGGTGCATCAATATCGAGAGATCTCATGCTGGGTTGTCAGAAAATGGAACCATCGAGGAAATGAATTAATCATATGAGGAAGTTCTCTTGGATCCAATTGTTTATGGCTTCGAGCAATCTCGAAAGTCTTTAAAGAAGAAAATCCCAAGCTTTACTGCAAGCAATGTGTCTTGGATGTGTCCTGGCGAGGGGGAGGGCTCTCGGCGACGTGAATATTTCTGATTTTCAGGCAGGCTGAGACAGTTTTTAATAGCTCTGATGGTTTTCCACCATTCAGTTATCGGGTAAGATTTTTAGGGTCAGAATATTAGTCATTTTTCTCTCACTTCCAAGTTGGGTTGCTCTATTCCTTGTCTGTTTCTTTCTCTTTTGTACTGCTTTTTCCTGCCCATTCATGGGAATCACGGCAGGTGTTTGTTTTCTCTGTGTCTTGCTTTGAACTGGCAAGATGTATTTTCCATTGTGGGAGGTAAATATTCCTGCTTTCTCTTTGTCTTTTGAAAGTCCCTCCCTTACTTGACTGTTTTCAATGTTTGATGGGAAGGAAAGAGACAACCATTGAATCACATGTATTTGTTTAATTTGTTCAGAGAAATGCAGCAGTTTATTGTTAATGTTCCCAATGCTGTGAGAGAGAAAGGAATAATGATCTCAATTATTGTCGGGGGTCTAATGTTATTGTTTTATTTATTTTGAAATTTGGCTTTAATGTTTGGATGAGTTAGGTAGATAAATCTTGATAATAAAAAGCTTGCTTTTATTCATCATCGGTTGTATTAAAGTTAATAATGTGAATGCTTGATTCTTCATTGCTAATTAAACTAAGTCTGATACTTGGGATTGCTTCCCAATGCTGTGAGCTGTCAGGAAACTAAGACATGCCATCATCTTATTTTTATTTAGGGATTGTGCATAAGACCAATTATCTATGCTACAAGGTCACAATCATTCCTAGTCATCAGATATGTGAAATCTGACAGTTTGAGTATGTCACAAAGTTTTAAAGAAATTTTTATTTGATTATGAACGTGGTCTATGGCATAATTATTTGACAGCTAAGGGTCATTATGATTTTGTACCTAAAGTAAACTGCCAGCTATAATATTTTATGTATCTTTTAATGTTGTAAGTATACTCTCTCAAAGTGCACTATAGGAGCTCTTTTCTATAATTCATTGTGTTCTCTTTTTCTTTGGGGAAGAACGCTGAGATACAACCCTTTGATGTAGTGCTCTGACACGGTTATACTCTTATTCCAAATCCTAAAGCATGCCTCTGTTTTTACCTCTTCTCCTCTTTTTTTCTTTTGGTTGAAGAGTTAATTTATTTTCCATCTTTTTTTTACTTGTTTAAGCCATTGTTTTCTTCAGCTTTCTTCTGCTATTCTTAGGCTTCCTTGGTGCACTAGTTTAAAAAAAAAAAAAGTTGGTATTCTTAGGTTTCCTTGGTGTTAAAAACAAAAAGGTAACTTTTAGTGAATATTTGTACTTGGGGAATCATTTGGTCCTCCCATGGGCAGGCCTTTATGCCAATTGTTTCACCCCAAATTTGACTCTCATGGATCAAGCAAGGCACACGAAATATTTCTTGAAAAGAGAACCTCGAAAATAGTTTCTCAATTCAGGTGAGTGCAGGTCATCCATTCATTGGTTGCTAGATCTAGCCTTTTAATAAACCAAATCAATTTTTTCAGTAAATTGTTTGTGGTGAAATTTGGAGTCAAAATAAATTTGGGTTCAAAATAAATTTGGAATCAAAATAAATTTGGCGTCAAAATAAATCTGGGTTCAATTGAGCAATTTTTTGTTTCTTGAGTTGGATTATCGTTACTCATTGCACTTACTCTTTCCTCAAAGCGTATTTCACTAAATTTTTTTATTTCAGATTTTTTTGTGAGCTTGATTTTCTTGGTACCAAGAGAATGTATATGCTAAATTTACTCACCCAAAATGGATAATAAAAATCGAAATAAAAAGTTAACGGGAAAACATGGAGCAAAAGATTTTAATGGAAAAAAAAAATCGGTGGGACCTAAATTATCCGAGTGCCTCCACTGGTTAGCATTCTAATTTGTGAAAAAGATTGAGTTTTTCTCATTTTTTCGAAGTAATTGGGACTTTTTCTTCATTGAAGAATCTCCTTTCTTCCAGTGTCTGGAAGGGTAATGAGGACCATTTCAGTCGTGTTTTTATACTCTGATGGAACACTTATCATTTATTATTTTATCAATTTGGCAAGTAATTTGAATTAAGTTGAAGTTGTGAGAGGAACAAATTTTTTATAGTGTGCCTATGCTGTGAAAGAAATTAGTTTTTTGAGTAAAAAGATGTCTTATTGTTGGATTTGGTGGAGCTACCAAATTAGCTATATCATTTTTCTTACTACCACATTCGCCCTAACCTTTTAAAATTGACTTAATATTATATTTGCTATGCGTGTATGTATATATTTAAGTGTGCTTAAGATACTAAACAACGAAAATAATTGATGAACTTGCACATTTCAACTTGATCATTGTCGAGCTGTTCCACTTTCATATATTTCAACTTCATCTATTGCAAGATATTTTGGAATTCCTCTTTGGATAGGAAACTTTTCTTCCTTTTTTATCTCATTCAACTTTAATCTCTCTTAGGCAAATTAATATCTCGACATTAAATAAAATCATTTTTATGGTGGTATTAAAATTTCTCTAGGGTAAATTACTCAAATTATTATCTTGACACGTAAAAAACATTTTGTTTATGGTCTTATTAAAAAAAGAAAATAGGATCTTGAATATTTGTATGGTATTATAAATAAAAAGTAAGATTTAGTATAGCGTTTATATAACTTTTTGAATCTAATTTATGTTTTACATAAAAAATTAAGAAAATTTTAAGATTGGGGAAATATTAGTTTTAATATTAGGTGGATACTTCACCTCAATAATAATCATTTCTTTTCAATATTTCATCCTTTCAATCAATTCCTTTTAATATTTCATTTTCATCCGGTTTTCAAATAGCTGTTCTATTAAATAGCATGAGGTATATTGTATCTCATATAATTTTTTAAATTAATTTTTCATTGTATTTCAATTTTTACTGATCTATGACATTTCATATAACTTTATAACTTTCTAAATTAATTTTCTATTGTAATTCAATTTTGAATGATCTTTTTTTCAGTCTTTTTCATATCTGAGTTTATCTTATTTATAAATGAAAAGTGAAAAACTTCAGTATCATAATATGACACAAAACATAAATATCTTTAATTGTACATTTTTTGTCCAATTTCTTTCCATACTCAAAATTCCTTTCCATACTTCATTCTTCTTAGATATTTATCCAAATTTGTAAATAATAATTAGTCCCCTCCAATATTTAATACTAACTTCTTTCCCAACTTAATTTCACTTTATATTAGAAAACTTCATTAATTAACTTGAATTTATATCGTCAGAATAATACACTATAAAATAGTAATATAACATAACAATTATGTAACACACTTTAAAGGATGACAAAGTTATAGTACACATCTAATTCATGCCACAAAAATCAACAGTATAAACATGACAGAACAAAATAAAATCTTGAAAGAAACATGTAACAGAAAATGTACACATTTAATTCATGCCACAAAAATCAACATTATAAACATGACAGAATAATATAACATCTTGAAAGAAACATGTAACAGAAAATAGTGATGAAATAACTCTTTTACACCTTAGTTTATGACGTTGTCTACTTGTTAGTCCCTCATGGTTAATTAAGTAATTAAGGAGGTGATGGAATTCCTCTTTTACAAAGTTATTTAACTTTTTTGGCATACATATTTACATTTACATCTCTTTCTACAAAGAAAAATGTTAGTGTAGAGCTGGCGCTTTCCGATAAGTAGTACAGTCCTACCTAAAATAGCCCTACCAAAAACACATTATGGCATTGAAAACCTTCAAATTGATTAGTACAACTTCATTAAATAAAGACATGAAAAATGGATTTGGAACCCTAAAAATAGTACGTCCAATAACATGTTATTTGGACCATCAATTTTTTAATATTCATAGATCTACATTATTGCTTGTGTTTCAAATTTCTTGACGAGAACTGAAAATAGATTTTTAAGTCATCATAAGAGTTTCTAATTCGAGAGCTTTGACGGCCAAAATTCCCTATAGATTCATGCTTTGGAAATCTTGACCGTCAGTCAAAAATGCCTCCCTCCATTTAAAGGTGGCCGACCAGAATCCACACTTTGATTAACAAAATCTTTTACTCCTCCTTATCTAAGGTTTTCTAATCAAAGTGCCTTTTATCTTCTTTTTTTTTTTTTTTTTTTTTAAGACATGTCGGGACCTATTGGATATGGAAAATTGCATGATTGACCTTGAGTAAAGACTTCCCATGAGAGGTGAACTTGTTAGTTGATATCTCTTTGGTATAAAATTGCCTTTAAGCTTTGGATTTATAATAGTTAGAAGATGCAAAAATTGAAGACCTCTAAGATGGCAATTCCAAGTTGAACCGTTAAGGATCTTTTGGAATGGAGGGAGCAAAAATATGTGTGTGTTTTTTTTTTGTCCGAGAAGATATCAAAAAAGCATTTGAAACCCTTTATATTATCATTAAAGGGGTCCAAAGATTACAAATTATATTTAAGGGTATGCTTTAAAACTTCTATATCAATCAGTCACATTCTAAAAGAAAAATGTTAAAATTAAAATTGGCTTTGTTCGGTATCAGGAAGCCAGAACAATTTGAAGTACTTTGGTAATTTCATCCCAATATATTATATGGTTATGGCCTCTTTGGCGTAAACTAATAAAAGTAACCGAAACTTGTTCGGACTTCCTAACAGTTTGAAAAAAAATTAATAAATGTTTTTTAAGACATACCTTATTGATATAGAAATTGAAAAACATATCCTCAAATGTTATTTGTAATCTGACTCCTTTAATAATAATGCGAGGGTTTCAACTTCTGATAACTTTCCCTTCTTTTTTTCTTTTCATTTTTGCATAACTTATGTTTTCGTTGGTATGGCTGGGTATTTTAAATGGGTGAGATTTGTACTAAGTTGCTTCTTATAATGTTGGAAGTAAGGCACACTTCTAAAATTTGCTTAGACGTATTGTTCCAGTATTAGAAACATTATGATGGCTTAAAATCTATTTTTATCAATAGTTATAAAATTAAAATTTTCAAAAATAGTATAGATATCTAAATTTTTCAAACGAGTACAGGTTGCATAAGGTGTCAACTTTAAACCATCTAAGTAAGGCACACCTCCAAATTTTGTCGAAAAATATAATTTTTGTGTTGGAAAAATCAATGAGGACCTAAAAAATTTAGTTTACATCTAATTCTGAAATTCAAAAATCCAAAAATAGTGTAGATCGAGCAGGTCTACAAACATTTGAAAATCTTGAAAATCGGTAGTTTAGAGTTTTAGATTGTGTTACCCGATGCACAATTTTTAGGACTTTAATTTTTTAGATTTTTTTCATATCCACACAAGGTTGAGATGATTAAGTGGAGGGACTTTTACAATATCAAAACAACATTTTGCAATGGATTTTTTAGGCGTTCTTGCTTCTCCACTACAACCCTTTATTTAAGTTTTCTCCTTTCAATGAACATAGTCTAGATGCCCTTTTGCACCATGAAACCTTGCCATGGATAATATTCAACATCCTTGTTGTCCTATCAATGCATGGATGGTGATGAACATAAGTGGTGGGCAGGACTCCCTCCATGGTCCTTCTGTTGATCGGATGCCATTGATTACATGGCGATGACATATGAGTATGTCTTTTTCATTAGGGTCAGGTTTATATGAGGTTCTAACCTCATTTGTAGGAGCAAAGTTGCGATGCTCTGCACCATCCGTTTTTGTTAGATGGTGCAGATTTACTATGTTTTTTTAAAACAGTGTTGAAAACGTTTTTTAAGTTAATGCATGATCTATACTATCCAAAGAAAATGAATAGTGTAGATTATTGTAGCCTTACTTCTACAAGTAAGATTGCAACCTTATATAAATTTTTAGAAAAATTACGTCCGTACCATAGTTAAATATGAAAAATAAAAATCGATTCAAATTTATAGAAAATTTATGCAAAGGTACATTTACTTCTTTTTTTTTCTAATTTTCCCTTTGTGGTCCTTTGTTAGAAACGCCAGACTTTATTTTATTTTTAAAATTTCTTGACATGTAGGGACTAGTTTAAGGTTTGGATCCTCATACCTCCCTATACTTTTAATTTATTTATTTTTTTTGAAGTATACATACGGTCCAATGTTCAAGATATCAAATCAAAATTTATAAAAAGAGAGCTCGTTCGATATTCCTAATATCGGACGTCCCCAAACCACCACCTTAATACCCACTTATATTCTAGGTGAACCACTGGAGTACAAACGTGTGGAAATTTTTTCCATTTCCTGATCCCCATGAGTACACTCCTACTTTTCAGAAATGGCGAGTTTATCTAAGCTCTTAAACTTCCGCCAAATTTTAAACTTTTTTTGTGGCACACTAAGGTCTTTATGGTTGGGCACATCACCTTTGATATGCATACTAAAAGCCTGGTCTAACCACCTGCTTTTTATGCTTTTTTTTCTTCTTTTTTTTAACTTTAGTCTGATATCTCCAATATCAGACGAGATGCTTTTAAAAAAATTATGATTGATGGGCAATCTAATGTTTTCAATTTAAAAAATAAAAAACATTAATATTTAGATCATTGGACTTTGACGTAAAATTGAGTAAAAAAAATGATGTTAGACGTGGGTCATTTTTAAATAAAATGACCAGTCTGATGTTCTAAATACCGGACCTATATACTTGCACCAAATATTTCCATAAAATTGTCGCTCCTTAGTTAATACGTTTTTCTTAAACTTTTTCTTTTCCCATTAGAAAATTTTTTATATAGAGTAGGCTCTGAACAATCAAATTAGAGCTCCAAAAATTTCATTAGAAGAGGTTGTTTTGATGCTCAAATATCTTCAAGTTGATAATCTCGACATCAAGATACATGGACATAAGAAAAAAGATAGATTTCAAGTTTTGGAAATAGTTCATCTTGTAACGCATTTTTAGACAATCAATTTTCAAGATTTTCAGGTTCTCATAGATCTTTGAAGCTTTAAATTTTATAATTAAAGGTGAAAATATATTTTAAGACTATAACAAATATTTTTAGTATTGAAACCACATTTCTCGACATTATTTGAAGGTCCGCTTTATTTTGATTGTTTAAAGCCTTGGCTCTACATAGACCGCACCCTTCTCATTTTAGTATAGGTCTTAGTACTTTGATCCATGATGCAGCCGCTTTTACTTAAAGGAAAACCATTTTACGGTCCCGTTCACTTTAGGGAAAACCTTTTGTCTGGCACCGCCATATATAAGACACAGCGCGTGTACTATGCTCTCATGAGAGTATATACTGTAGATTTACCCCTGGGGTAGAGGCACATATATTATGCTCCCACAGGAGCAAATTGTTCATTTATTCTCATGGGTAAAAATATGCTTGAAAAGATTTTTTGGATCTGAAAGTTAGGGATTCATTTAAATATGTTACTTTAAAAGGGTAGAGGAAAGTGGTGGCGCTAGCTCCAAATTCGGTCTTTTTTTTAGTCTACTGGCAGCGTTAACTCCAAATCCGTATTTTGATCTAAAAAAATACTTATAAATTTAACTTTCAGAAAAAATAAAATAAAAATATAGAATTAAATGAAGAAAAACAAACTTTTAAACAAAGAAATATATACTTACCTGTAAGGATTTGAAACTAAGAGTTTGAAGCTTGGATCAGGCCGCTCTTCTGATTTACAAAACCATCTCATTTTTTCGATGCTTTTGATTGCTGGAATTGATAGATCTAAAGTTCTTTGATCTAGATCTAGTGTTCTTTAGGCAAGAAAAAAAAAATGGAATTTTTGTTAGGGTCGACCTAAGCTTTTCTTGAGATTGGAGTAGAATTTCGAGATCTCCAAAGGTTGAATATGAATTTAGTATTTTCTGTGATTTTTTTTTTTTGGGGGGCGGGGGGAAGGGGGGGGGGGGGGCGATTTTTCCTAACTTTTTAGGAATTTTCTAAGGGTTATTTCTATTTTTAGGTATTTTTGGGCTATTTTTCGAATTTCAAAAATTTCTAAGGGATTTTTTCGTCTCTTTCATCTCTCTGTCCTTTTTTTGGTTATAGATGGGATATTTATAGGATTCAAATTTTTCTTTATTTTTTTTAAAAGTTTTGGATTTATCTTGAAGTTTTTGCCTTATCTAACTAAAAAAAACATATTTACTGTATCATAAAATGCTTTTACTGCATCATCAGGCCGCGCCTAGGCCTGTGGAGCTGGTCACATACCGGCTCGCATCTTGACACTTGGGTCTCACAAAGACTAAATTATTATTTGTTAGATCTTTTTATATGTAGGTCCAATTCAAACGATTCTTTAATGGTTGAAAAGATCTGTCTACTTCAAGTTAAGATAGTTTTGGACAGTTTAGAGGAATTATATTGAGTCTAGATTGGTTATCCTCTAATAGGGTTTTTGTGTTATTTGGGTTCAAAATTGATGTTTTTATGAGTTCACTTAGCCAAAATTTCGAGAGGGGTCTACACGCTAACAATAATTTTACGTCTTACCGTGGCTTAACGCAAGCATCTAATATTCATTTGTGATATTATTGTTAGCCAACTCCCTAGCATTCCTATGTATCCAAGAGATCAAGATCCGGACTTAATTCTCGATCACGTAAATACCTAAATTAAATATGTAGGCAACTGTTAACAAGGTGAATATTTTTTTAAAAAAAAAGTGGAAAAATAATCGTAGTTTGGCCCTTTTCGACCATGCAATTAAGATGCAAAAACAAAACTGTTGACAAATTAAAGTCATTAGAACGAATGTGATTAAATTATGATTTGACTGTTTCACTGTAACTCCCTTGCATATCGCCTTTAAAGAAAGAGAAATTCGGGTTTTTCTTTTCCCAAAATTAGGGTTTTGACCAAAAAAAAAAAAAACCCACTTGTGCAGACATGTCCACTAACACATAAAAGGATCAGAGAGAATTTTTGCAGGTTTTCTGGGTCAAAATCCCATAATTCCTTTGACACTATCTTCTTTTCTAAAAGTGTGCCTTTTCTATAGATAGAAAACGAATAGTTTTGTGTGGATGACATTAGGGGTTTTCTCCCTATTTGGAGGTTAGATGGTCCCTGAAATCGGAGTTTTTTTGTTGGGTCGAACAGGTTCATTTCCTCATTGAATTTGGTCCTCCATAGATATCTGTGTTTTTTTTGTTCTTCAATTTTTCCCTTTTAATTTTATTATCTAAAGGATTTTTGTTGTTAGCAAACAAAAGAAAAAGCAAAACAGAGTTTTTCTGATTTGGGTTTTGATCATTTTCAAATAAAATTAGAGTTTTAGGTTCTTAATTCATTATTCTCTTAGAATCAAGTGCTTCAGATGCAAAGTTCCATTGGTTTTAGAGATAAATTTTATTTCTTTATTCAATTAATTATGGAGAGAAAGAGTGTTTTTACAATTTAATTAGGTCATTCTTTTAAGAAAGTTTTGATTTTTCAGAGAGAATTTAAGGGTTTCAAGGCTGTCAATATTAAAGACTTTATTTTCTCACACGGGTGTAGATTTTAGTTTTTGAACAAAGAGAAATGAATATAAGCATTGAAGGAAAATGAAATTCTTATTCTTTTCAAGTACTGAGCAAGTATCAATAAAATTAGGAGGAAAATAATAAAGTTTAGGGTTAATTATTGAATAATTTTGATTTTAAAATTATTTAAAACCCAAAAAAGATTGAAGTTTTTGGGCTGTTTTGGTTGGATACCAATTTCTCAAATAAATTAGATTTTTTGTGTTTGATTATTATACATAAATAACATGTTTTTGAGTGAGGTTAAGAAGCAAGCATCATTCTTTCTCAAAGAGAAGCTTAAGTCTGCAAGGCTGGTTCTCACAGATGTGACTCATGCTGAACTGTAAGTACCTTTTTGAATTTATTTTATTTTTCACTCAAGATTGTATTATTTGTTTTTAGAATTTTCAGTTATGGGTGATATAAAAAAGTAAATTTTTTTTGGGATTAGTTTTATTTAATAAACAATCATGTTAGTATGTATTCCCTGGGTTAGTTTGGGGGGTTATTTATTTATTTGTGTGGCTGTTTATTTATATATTTAATTTTTTATTTAATTTGAAGGTTAACTGAGGAAGCAACAAATGGGGATCCATGGGGGCCTGATGCTAGGACCATGAGGATCATATCTCAGGCTGCCTTTGAAGTTGATGAATATTGGAGAATTAGTGATATTCTTCATAGGAGGTTCTCTCTCTCTCTCAATATCTACAATGGGTATCGGAGAACTGTAAATATTAGAGTAATGATCGTGTGAGACCGTCCCACACCCATGTGTATGAAATCCCATATGATCAGTATTAAATTTGGTACAGATCTTTAAGAAAATTATGATATGGGTATAAGATTTGACTTTTTTAAAGATCCTTGTCAAATTTAATGATAATCTTTGAAGTCCTAAACACATAGATGTGAGAGGGTCTCATATGATCATTATTTTAAATATTATTCATAAGAGGTATTTTCTAGTTTTATTTAAGTAATCTTGATCAAACCCTCTTTCTCTCTCTGAATGTCTATTAAGGTGATTTATCATCCAAAAACTTTACTTAAATTCAAAATGTTCGCTTTATATGGAATCCACATATTGATTTTTTTTATTTTTTTTTTAGTTTTTTTTGTTAGTAGTGAAGCGCCCCAAGCTTTAAGGCCATGCCCAAGCAGTCCAAGGCTAGAATTTTTGGACCAATGGGGACCTTAGACCGCTATTTATCTCAATAATAAATAAAGAACAGTCGAAGGATAGAGACCTCAGACCACCTTGGATCTGAGTTGGGCTCAATCCAAAGAGTGGTAAGAGGTTTCTATCTTTGGACCGCTTATTTTCTCAAAAAAAAAAAAATTTAAAGTGTGGTCCAAGGATGACGACCTCGGATCGATATTTTCCTCAGGAATTAGAGGGAGTCCAAGGATTTGAACCTTGGTCCTCCTGGGCATTGTCCTTAAAGTTTGGTGCACATCATCGGACCGAGGGGTAATTTTAGAAAAAATAAAAAAATGCTAGTTGACCGTCCTTCTATTTTCTGCATATAAATGGAGCATTTTATATGTTAAGTAAAAATTTGGGATCCTTAGGTGAATCGCTCAATATTATGAATATATATATATATATGGCGAAGTATGAATATTATTTAGAGGAGGTATTTAGTAGCTTCATTTCAAGATTCTTGATCAACTCTCCCTCTCTCTATTTATGCTAGTATCCACAATGGATATTGGAGAATTGAGAATCCTATTGACAGGAGGTATTTTCTAGTTTCATTTTAATATTCTTAGTTGAATTGCTCATCTCTCTCTCTCTTCTCAGGTTTTACACAATTGACAAGAAAAATTGGAGACAATCTTACAAATCTCTTGTGTTGCTGGAATACCTTCTTACTCATGGCCCAGACAGCTTCGCTGAAGACTTTGAAAGAGATAAACATGTCATTGAAGAATTAGCAAATTTTCAATACGTAGACGAGAGAGGGTAAACAAACAAAATAAACAAGAACTCCCTGTGTCATTTTAAGTGAATTTATACTCTCTCTCTCTCTCTCTGCAAATGCTTTGCAGCTTGGATTGGGGACGGAACATGCGAAAGAAATCGGAGAGCATTCAGAAGCTTCTCGATGACAACGAATTCCTCACAGAGGCTCGCATAAATGCTCACAAGCTGTCGAGAGAAATCCAGGGCTTCGGGAGCTTCAATTCGAGATCATCGTCGTCCTCTCAGTCTACACCTCCTGCAAAAACCACACTGAGATCCTCTTCTTTTGGCTACTATCCAAGCAGCTGCTCCTCTTACAGTAACAACAAGAACAAGGCCCCTGCAAAAGAAGGAGACCTTGATACTTTGCCTGAAGAAATGGAGAGGAGAGAGAAACCCATTCTGTTAGAATTTGATAGAAAAATCAAAGGTGGTGGCCATGAAGTAGAGAGAAGTTTAGAGAAAGAACACCCATTTTGTCAGAATGATGAAGAGGATTCCAATGCTCTGCTTTCTGGTGATTGTAAGAAGGGTGGTGACCCTGATATGAACAACTTTCCACATACAAAGAGGCTATTGAGCAAGAACTTTGATTCTCAGTTGTCCATGAAGAGCAGGGGACTTGAAGTTTGAGAGAGAGAAAGGTATAAAACTTTTTCTCTCTCCAAAAAGACAAAAAAAATGTATAAAATTTGGATTGAGAGCCTATATCTCTCTATATGATGTAGAAAGAAGGAATGTATAAACTATAAAGTAATATCTCTCTCTTTAAATTTGGATTAAGAACCTTTATCTCTCTATATGATGTAGAAAGACGGAATGTTTAAAGTAAGATCTCTCTCTGTGAGTTCTTGTAAATGGAAAGGAAATAAAGTTTGAAGTGAGATGGTTTAGATTCTTCACAAGGGAAAATTACAATGGGAAGAATACACTCTTGTTTGACTCCTAGCTTATATGAGACTTTCTGTTCAAAATTTGTCACTGGTGCAAAAACAATCTCTCTCTTCAAAATTGGTAACTTGTACAAAAACCATCTCTCCTCTCTCTTTCTCTCTTCAAAATTTGTCAGTTTAAAGCTTCTCTCTCTCTCCATTGTCTCTGCCTTTGGTACAAAATCATTTGAAGTCAAGAGTTTCTATAGCTTCTCTACAATTGTCTCTTGGTGCTAGGTATAAATGGGAGGGCTTTCTAGGTGACCCCACCCATATATATATATATATATATAGAGAGAGAGAGAGCGCCAGGCTCTAAACAATCAAATTAGAGCCTACCTCAAATATTTTAAGAAGTTGTTTTGATGCACAAATATCTTCATATGGATCATCTCCACATTAGGATGCATGGACATGTGAAAAAAATGGATTTCAAATTTTGAAAATAGTGTATATTGTAACGCATTTTTTGACGGTCAGTTTTCAAGATTTTCAAGTTTTTATGGATATGCTTGATCTACACTATTTTTTAAGCTTTAAATTTTATAATTAAATATGAAAATATATTTTAAGGCTATCACAAAAATTTCGAGTACTGAAACCACGTTTCTCGATACTATTTGAAGGTGGGTTCGAATTTGATTACTCGGCTCTACATATATATATATGTATATATATGTCACAAGCTAGCACTTAACCATCAGATCTGATTAGACGGCTCATAATGTTTTTTTATTAATATTCTACAAATAATTTTGAAGCAAAATTTGGGGTATGCATGTATCTAACAAGTGCTCACATGATCAAATATTAAAAAATATTTATGCGAAAAATTACTAGAATGGTGGAACAAGATTTATGCAGTTAGGGGTGGTAAATAGGCTAGGTGGCATAGCCTTGTTCTAAAAAATTAAGGCATGGACCACAAAATGTGGCCCGAGGACTTGGCCAGGGGCTACTTTGATTTAACTCGGCCTGGCTAGGCTCTCATTTTTTTTAAAAAAAATATTGATTATTTATTTATTTATTCTACGGCTGGAATGGGCGAAGTGAAGGCCATACCACCCAGTGGCCAACCCAACATGCAGTTGACCCTAGATATTTGAGATAAGGCTCACAAGACAAATGGTAATGGTGATTGAATTAGTTGACCCTAGATAAAGCTCACATGACAATGATAATGATGTTTGAATTACAAAATTTGTATTAATTATGTGTTAAGGATTTAGATTTGACTAGAAAGAAAAACGCATTCAGTGTGAGGTGAGAGGCATGGATAATGACTGTCACTCGACATTACAACAACAAATACCAAACGTGCATGGGAAGAAAGGATCTACGACCAAAAAGAACAAACAAATGAGAAAAAGATAAATGAAAGATCGATCTATCCATTATAAAGTAAAACAAGAGAGAGATCTACCCACCCACAAGATCAAACAAGAGGGGGTAGGAGAAAGAGAGACCCAAAAGAGCAAACAAGATAGAGATAATGAGTGAGAGAGATTGAAATGCTCTACCTACCTAGGAGATAGAGCATCACGGGAGAGAAAACTGAAGAGAGAGAGAGATGGGGTTAATGTTCGCAATATTGGTCGGTTCAACTCGGAACCACGCGATTAGATCGCTCGTTGTTTTTGGTTTTAGCTGGTTTTGGTGATTCCAAAACAATAAGGGATTTGTTTGTAATGCGTTTTAATGTTTTTATGATTTTGGCTATGAATACTTATTTTTACATTTTTTCATCTTTTTTGAAAAATTTTAAAATATCTCTCGACACAGATTGATTTTTTAAAAAGAAAAAATCTATATAAGGTTGCAACCTTAAAATGTAGAACTATGGATGCACCTCAAAATCCATCGAAAAATATTATTTTAATGTTGAAAAGCCCTCTAACTGATAATCTTGACATCGAGATGTATGATTATGAAATAAAAGATGATTTTGAGTCTCATAAATGGTGGGCCTTACAACACATTATCTAAACCATTAATTTTTAAAATTTTAATATGTTTATAGATCTACTTGATTTTAACTATTTTTGGAGTTTAAAATTTTATAATTAAATATGAAAATAGTTTTGAGATAATCCTAATAATATTTTACATCAAAATTATATGGTATGATCAAATTTGAAGTTACGTTTTAATTGGATTGTTTGCAACCTTATGAAAACTACACTATTTTTAAATTTTATTATTTTCACTTATTTTCAACTGAATTCATTGTTCTCACTTATTTTCAAATTTTATTTGGATGTGCTTTGTTTAATCATGATTTATTTTATTTTATGTATTTTTTAGAAGTTTTTTTTAGCACTTAGGACTTGTTTAGTCCATGTAATGTTTTCGATTTTTTGAAAAGTGGGGCAAAGTGGTGTTGGTGGTGACAAAACACTGGCAAATGCCACTAAACACGCAACCTCCCTCCCACCAATGTGGCCATCAAAAGGGCAGGGAAGATTCATTCCTTCTCTTCCATTTCACATGATTCAATCTGGTCCATCCATTTTGATTTATCAGATGCAACCTTGACCGTCCATTTAGAATGATTATAACAATGGAGACGTGCACTCAGTATTGCCTTATTCAAAGCAACATGACCCCCAACCACCATTTTGACCTCCCATTTTCTCTGCTTTTTGAAAAAGAATTATTATTTAATCAATTACTATTAACTTGCATGTTCTCAATTATTCCCTTATTAAATTATCATGAGGAACCAATTTATTTTCAATCAGCATAATTGATGTTGTTCTTTTGAGGTCCCTACTAATTTAAAAACCTTCAAATTTCAGACATGGATGTCTATAATTTGGGTCCATGTGAATGCATGGTTAATACTTAATACCAGAGTTTTGACCTGTCGATTCCCTATCCAGTTTGCTGATCTGGATACAAAATCGGTTGAGACCGAATCCGTTTCACGGTAGTATAGGTTCTAATTTGGTTCCTCCCCTAAACCACCTCCTCTTTGTTTATATTTTTTGCTTTTTTAAGCTTATGTAATGTTTTATTATGTTCACATAATCCTCACCTCATAAACTCCTTTTTAATTTTAACTTAATTTACTTATTTATTCATATTTTATGAATCGCCGATTCAGACCGATCTGAGATACATTGATTTGTCACAAATATGTGGGGTGAACTACCTATTACACCGATCGGGGTTTTGAAACACTGGTTAGGATTTTGTGTTCAACTTGTTATCCAAATTTATAAATATCAACCGTTGGATCCAATGTCATGATATTTATTGAGGAGGCCTCTTCATTTTGGTTAATAAAGGGAAGCGCTTCAACTCTTCTAGAGAATCGGAGCAAAGTGATTGAGCATATTTCTAAAATTTAAAAAAATATAAAATATGTATAATTGTGAAGCTTTATTTTGAATATAAAAAAATATATGTTATAAAAGGAACAATTTATACAAGGATGAGGCCTTAAACAATCAAACTAAGGCATACGTCATAAATTCACTAGAAGATGTCGTTCCGATGCTAAAAAATCATCAAATCAATCATCTCGATCTCAAGACGTATGGACATGAGAAAAAATGTATTTTAAGTATTGAAAATAGTACATCTTGTAACACATTTTTTTTATTGTTAATTTTCAAGATTTTCAAGTATTTTTAGATCAGCTCGATTGACACTGTTTTTTAAGCTTTAAATACTATAATTAGAGATGAAAATAAATTTTCGGGTCATCACAGAGATTTTCAATATTGAAACAACAATTTTTTACACCTTTTAAAGGTGTGCCTTACTGTTATTGTTTACGGCTTCAGCCTTGCAAACCACACCCCTTATAAATTTTGAATGCTAGAAAATCCGGCTTGAGGCCTTAAGTAAATACATTAGTAAATGTAAAAAATGGTCCAATTATATTAAAAAAATAATAAAAATACTATCAAAGCAAATAAATAATAGTTTTGTATATGTCATAAAGTTCAATAAAAATGTCTTCAAAGTTTGAGCCTGGTCAATGAGACTATTTTTGCCACCCGATTCCACATCCAATGGCCAAGGGTGATAATGCCCTTCTTGAATCTCATTGTATAATTTATAATAGAAAGAAAAACCATATTCTTTGTATTAAAATAGATGAAAAAGTTAACTGGCAATATCATGTGAGCGCACAGAAGACTGCATGAACCATGACATGTCCCAAACCGTCCAACGTTGTCATCCTACGGTTAAGATGAAGTGAAGGTTCCTTCAAAACTGCTTAATTAAATTCATTGCACTCATTCTCTACATTTTCATGACTAATTAAATATTATTTATACAAAAAATTGTGCTTATCACAGCAGGTGGAACTACTCCACATAGATTTCGCCATGACCTTTGGATTTATTTTTTCCTTTTTTTTATTGATGACCTATGGACTTTATCCCTTAGAATTTAGATTGGAAATAAGTGAATAGTTTGATTATTATATTTATTGTGCAGTTATTATATTTTTACACAATAATTTGATTATAAATGATTTGAATGGTGCCTATTTTTAACTTATAATTTATGGACAAACATGGGACACATGGTGATTATCTTTTTATTTGTCCCCCTAATGTTGAACCCATGGTCATTATTATATATTAGATCCTATTATGAGTCTTTTCCTAAAGTTCATCTCTTCATGGGATTAGACTAATTATAATTATATTTAGTTATGATCTAATTGTAATGGGAGAGAGTGTAAGAGAGGAACAGTAGAGAATTAGAACCTAATAATATCTCTCTTATGTAGGGTGCTGGAAGCTGTGGTTCAATTTTTTCTTGAAAAGGCCGTTTCAGTGCTATGAAATCCTCAAATTGATCAGGTATGAATTTAAAAAAATAAAAAAGAGTAAAAATATAGATTTCAAGCTATAAAAATAATATATATTGTCACATATTTAATCTAGACTATTCATTTTTAAGTGTATGCATATCTTGGCCTATATGTACCATATTTTAAGCTT